CATGCTGAACTTCAACCTCACCTCCATCATTGGCGAGTCCTACTACTGCGCTGAACAGAACTACACCTCCCTGGGCTTTGGCTTCAGCAAGCGTGCTGAAGGCAGCACTACTAGCTACCAGCCCGCCCAGAACGGCAGCGTCACTGCAGAGGGTGTTGCTCTCGCCCAGGCCATCTACGACGGTCTCCACGACTCTAACGGCAAGCGTGCCTACCTCTCGTGGCAGATCGCCGCTGCGCTATCCGATGGTGACACCGAGTACGACTCCACCACTGACTCCTGGACTCTGAGCATCCCCTCCACCGGCGGCGAGTATGTGACCAAGTTCGTGCAGCTCCTCAACATCGATAACCTGGAGAACCTCGACAATGTCACCTACGACACCCTGGTCGACTGGATGAACATCGGTATGATCCGCTACATTGACAGTCTCCAGACCACCGTCATCGACCTCACCACCTTCAAGGAGTCCGGTGGTAAGATGATCCACTACCACGGTGAATCCGACCCCAGTGTTCCCACCGCCTCGTCCGTTCACTACTGGCAGGCTGTCCGTCAGGCCATGTACCCCAACACCACCTACACCCAGTCCCTGCAGGATATGTCCGACTGGTACCAGCTTTACCTCGTCCCCGGTGCTGCTCACTGTGGTACCAACTCCCTCCAGCCTGGTCCTTACCCCGAGGACAACATGGAGATCATGATCGACTGGGTTGAGAACGGCAACAAGCCTTCCCGCCTCAACGCCACCGTCTCCTCCGGTACCTATGCTGGTGAGACCCAGATGCTTTGCCAGTGGCCTTCTCGTCCCCTCTGGAACAGCAACTCCAGCTTCTCTTGTGTTCACGATTCCAAGTCCCTTGCTACTTGGGACTACACTTTTGATGCTTTCAAGATGCCCGTCTTCTAAGTGGGTTGATTGAGAAAATATGGATCTTGAAAGGGCCTTTGATAGGATCTCTATCCGTCTGTACCTAGTATCTTCGCTTCGAAAGTCGTTGTTGTTCTTCTACCTTTTGTGTCTCTTTAATCTGTATACGTGTGAAGAAGACTTTTACTAGCTTATTTAGTCAACAATATCATTGGAGTGTATATAACACTTATTGCTTTTTAAAACTGAACAAGTCTTCTTGCAGCTTAATGCGTGTTAAAAACTGTGCACGAGGAATTTCAGAATATGTCTGCAGGTTGTGAGGACAGAGACAACATTTGTAATCAAGCTAGCCAATCCCGAAATCCATCCGTGATAAGCAGAATCAAAGTAATTACCGCCCCCACTCCCACCCCACACGAACAAATTACAACAATCCGAACAAAATCATTCTTTGCGATATCTTTAGCCTTCACAATCCTTGGTCATGTTCTTCATGGCCCCTCTCGCCCACCTTTCAGACCACATCTGGGATAATCGGACGTTCTAATAACGCATTAGCACAGGTCTTGTACTGAATCAGAAGAAAAATTTGGGAATTTTTAAATTTGGGCAGTAAGGAAGGGAAAGGAGGGGGTCTGGGTGGAGAATTTACAAGGCAACTGGAACTAACCTGATCAGAAACCTTCCACAAGGCATAGGTCAAAAGAAGGGATGCGGCGCCGAACACAATGTACCAGCGCCAGTCAGGGTTGCTTTGCAGCGCGTTGACGTTCATGCCAAAAAGACTCTGTTGCTATTAGTCGGGGCAGAAAAGAGCAGAAAAGGAAAGAAAGACAGTTCACGCTACTACTTACCGATGCAAACATCAGTGGTAGGAAGATAAACTGCCCTCGTTAGCCATGTGAATGGAGAGAACCAATATATCGTCTCACAGTTATTAGACTGATACGTCTCATGAAAACTGTTTCTTCAACGGAAAGCCTAGCAAATTCCTGATATTGTAAGAACCATTCAATGAGGTCAACAAGGTAGGTATCTTACCATCTGGCGAAGGTCCCGTACACGCTCGTGCTGTTTATCCAGTCGATCATTGATAGTCGCCTTCAAACGCCTAAGATCCTCTTCTGACTTTAGCAAAAAAGGACTGTGATGTACATCCACCCTGCGATATTCATCGATTGCCCTCCGTATTCCCTTGATCTGGTCTTGAAGGGCCTTCTGAATGGTGGCCAAGTAACGTGAATCATCAGCTAGGTCAGTAATCAGGATAGTGGCGCTCGTCTCGTCACCATTGCACTAGTGGTCAGAGCTGTCAGCGTAAGACGCAATATCCGCGATAAGGGGTCGACGTACATGATCAATGACATGCGTCTCGATTTCATCGCATATTAGGGACCATTCCTGAAATAATTCGCCAATGTATTGCTGTAGGAATTTGTAGTCGCTTGCAGGAATCTGTCCGTGAGAGATAGTACTGCTGTAGAATACTGGTTGTATACTTGTATCCGGAAACTGTGGCCTTGTCCACGATATACACCAGCATTTATGACTTGTTATACCCTGAGACTGGAATGGGCTATGTCTCTTGAAGAATCCTGCATCTGGGCTCGGAAATTCTGCTGATAGAACACAGGTTACTTCGGACAGTCTTGTGTCCAGATGCACGCGGCTGTATGCGTATGATTCTGTATTGTGGTAGAGGCCATGCTGCAATGAGGCTATCCAATTTTGTTTGCTATTGTGTAGCCTGCCAATACTTCCTGTTAGCATTTAAAGAAGGTACTCATCAAACGGCAGTATTTACCAAAGATGCTGAAGCATATCCCATCGCTCGACAAGACGTCCTTGTGGAGTTACATCCTCTGCTTGGTAGAAGTCGAAGACAAGGAATATTGTTCTTCTTTTGTACCAGCTCGAATGACATATTCCGGTCTGCTCCCTCCAAATTGCAGAAAGACGCCTTATCCTTACTGTCCCGCAATAGATTGAACCAGTCCGCTTTGTCTTTGAAGCAATCCACTTCGGCACGCCATCGAAGGAAAAGCTTCACTATCGGTAGCAGTCCTTTCTCTTTTGCCAAGGCCAAAGGAGTTAAGCCACGTCTGTCGGCTTTCTCTAGAATTTCCTCTAGAATTTTCTTTCTCCCTAGAAACTCTAAGCTCACATTTGTTGGAACTTCAACTGTATCCATAGGCAAGTGAGATACATGGGCGAGTATTTGTTGGAGGTGATACTCCATAACGCCGATATTAGGGATGTCAAGCATTATATGGAAGGCGGTCTCTTTGTTTGGCCCTTGCGGTCTGGTAAATGAATAGCCGTTGGTAACGAGCCATTCAAGAGGTTCAGATCGAGTGTGAGCATTCCTCGCAAGGAGCCTCAGAGTAACGTCATCCTCGCTCCATAATAGTTCAGCAATCTCGCGGTGTCTAGCCTCTATGGCCCGCCAAAGCGGCGTTTTTCCATCTCTGTCCGCCGCGACTATACTGATGCCCTTAATGTTAAGAAGTATTGTGACGATTAAATGCCTCTCGAGTTGTACAGCACGCGATAGCAGGGTAAGGCCAAAGGCATCATGCTCAGACAACATGGATGTGCTTATATAGTCGGATGGCACTGGTATCCATTCCCGCACACCCGAGTGTGAGGTCTGCCCAAAAAAGTTTTTTGCCTCCGGTGGAAGGCCTCTTGCCTCCAGGGAATGGCTTCTGTTCCAAATCAGTGGAAGAATGCGGAGATCATAACCTGTACTTGAGTAAGGCTCGCTTTCTAAACATTGGAGAAAGTAATGGCAAGGTGTCCAGCCTTGGTTATCCTTGTCATCAAAATCCTTGTCATCAGAGAAACTGATATCCCAACTGAGTAGCTCAATCAATTTCTCGTGGCCGAATTGTGCTGCCCAGGATAAGGCCGATCGTCCAGTTTTGTCACATCGGTAGGGGTCCGCTCCAGCTTTTATCAATTTGTTCACAGCCCACGCATTTCCAAGCTCTGCTGCATGAGACAGTGGGGTACGACCGTCTTCATCTTGCTCAATCAGATTATCCATTTCAAGGCCCTTCAGTAGCGAGTCCCATTTCGCACGTTCCTGCCAATGTTCCCGGCTGGAGATGGATCCCGTTGGCAATAACTGCGCTGCGTAATGGAGCGGTGTCATACCAAATTCATCTTTTGTGTGTGAATAGGCCTCGCTATCTCGCTCAAAGCGATCGCCGAGAGTGCGGTGGAATTTTTCTAGGACCCTAGATGAGTATTCTTTTCTCTTTTGCTTGGCATTGATATGAACAGGACTAGGGGCACACCTATGGCTGTTTCAGGGGCCTCCTTTTTTGTTTGTAGCTTCCTCAAGAAATCTTCCAATTTTGAAGCCTCCATCCAGTACCAACGATGACAGATAAACGGTGCTAACACCGGCCTCGAAGAGATTCAAAGCATTTGTAGAATAATACATCGTAGCCTAGATCGCAAGGCTGCGTGGCTAAGATAGCAGCATCCGTGCATCGCCTCACGCTAAAGTTGTGGTTTCGTTTGATTTGATGCATTGCCATGTTGCTATGCGGAGTTGATAGCACTCCATCCAGGGGTCCTATTACTGTAGCCAGCGATAAGATATTGTTGAACAAATGTCTGAATAACACAAAGTCAAAGTTTCTAGATATGAAGAAACTTAAGTTATATGGTATCTCATGTGAAAATTGTTTTCGCGACCGTACGCGCTGTCAATTCACCCATGTGTGGACACTGAGCTTTGTGTTGACATCTAATTTAACCGAAAGGCGGAAACGTGGCTATGCTCGCAAAGGATCGCATCGTGCAGCAACCCCGCGCGACGTGGCTATCTTGCTGAGGCATTTACGTGGTATCATTGAATGCAAGTTAGCGATAGATCTAAGGTGCTTGTTAATGATTAAATTCCATGTTGTGTTTTTTGGCTGCTTAAAGTTGAGGATATTCAGGATATCTAGGAGATCTCGGGTGACAGGCCCCTGCGGTGTGCATACCAGCGGGTATTCATCAAGGGGTTTCCGGTCTTAGCGTACAACTACTATTTGTAGTCTTTGCTCTGCTCTTGTCGAGGGAAGAACAATACCAGTATATAAAGAATATTAATAGACATTCTATGCTATTGGATAATACTAATACAAAGACGAAGGTAAGAATCACTGCACTACCCTAGCAATCCCCATATCCAGATAGGTTCTGATGTAATATGCAGTGCGTTCAGGAAGAGAAAGAGTACTCAGGAATGTTAATGGTGGTAACAGTCCAGGTCTTGCCACCATCGCTGGTGGACATGTCGCCAGTAACGCCGCTACCCTTGGCGAGGGTGTTGATGTAGTTGGGGTCAGCAACATCGAGGATAATCGTGGTGTTGGTCCAAGCTAATGAGCGGTCTTATTAGCACGGCGAAGATTCTTCGGTAATGTCATTGTTCAACTTACAGTGAGCACCGACAGTGCCGCAGTTGTCCTCGGCACACTCGACAGCGCTACCCCAACCCTGAGCCTTGCCATCGCTGGTGGAGAGAGTAGAGACGGTTTTGCCGTTGATCAAAACGGTCTGGGTGTAGTTTCCGGTCGAGTCATCGAACTTGTCTATAAATCGCGAGTTTTAGCTATTATCCAGGAACGACAGCTTGAAAATGTCACTTACAATGCATGGTGACCTTATCGCCCTTAGTACCGTCAGCCTGGCCATCACCGTAGAGGGGCTCCTGGGAAGTAGCTGTGGAGATGAGCGGGTAAGTAATTATTTCGTTTGTCGTTAGTTTCCGTGGTCACTAACCGCTGGTCTCCTTAAGAGTGTAGGCGTACATGGTCCAATCGCTCTGCTGCCAGTTGTCGGCAATGGACTGAATCAGGTCACCATTGGAGGTGCCCATACCAACCCACAGGGAGGTGATAGCATCGGAGGAGCCGCCGCTAGGGCCGTTGGGGAGGACAAGAGTCGAGGTAGCTTCACGGATGAAGGAGTCGTCGGAGACCGGACCAGTGCTGAAAGCAGGACCCATGGCGGCGTTCACGCCGGTGGCGCCAAGAGCTGCAAGAGCTGCGAGAACCTGGGTGCGGGTGTACATTTTGATGGAGTCGTGTGTGGTAGATGCGGGAGCTCGTGTGGTCTTGTTGTTCTGATAGACGGACCGCGAGGACAAGGTACATTCTTATATGTTCTGATAATGACGAAGCAGCTTTTAACGTTCCTTCCCTAATACTCCCTCTCTCCTCAGTAATTATTAACGTTTATTGTCTGATGTTTCGGGGAAATATCCACCAGTGGGGTTTCGGTCCCCGGGAGTATTGCCCTAGTTGAGGGGATTTTGGCTCTTGTGCGTTCCATTGCACGAATGGGGTGTGCAGACACAAATATGCTGCCCCCATGCTGTCCAGGAGCCAAGAAAAGAGTCAATCTATATGGATCTCTCTGACAAGGCTACTGCCGCAGACTCCTACCTCGACTTCCCGTCCTGACCCACTTGATGGGTAATCAATTCCGATTCCCGACACCATCAGGAACAGCTCTCTCCCAAAGTCAATTGCACCTGACAAACAGTTACAGGCAGAAGTAAAATTTCCCTGGCTCTGGACTGATTCATAACTGGCCTTCAGGGTTGCTCTTTATTTTCCGGTAATTTAGCGAACGAATGCCGTACTAAATATCCGAAGGTCCAGATGCTCGCTGAATCAGGGTGGCAAAAGTCGCCATAACCTTTCCATACTGACCCGGTAGGTTAAATTTAGTCATGAGCTTGCTGTAGCGGTTACTCGAACTTAATAACCGCCATCAACAACCTTGGGCCAAACGGCTATTCTGGTTTGTTACAGGAAAATGCAGTATGGACCTCCCAGATGCCCATATGGCCCTTCTCCACTTATGGGCCCTGCTCTTGGCGCCCTACTGTAAACCCTGGAACAGCCCCTATGCAGGGGTCCTCCGTTTTCGGCGTCAAAATAGTAACAGACAGACCTGCAGTTGTTTCAACACTTTTAGGGTGGTTAATCTTCCGCCAATAGGAGACTACAGCGCCTTCTTCATTACTTTATCCATAAAGGTATGAGCTCCGTGCTTCATTTAAGATCCTCAGTCATACCTAACAACCACCACCCACGAGGGCCCAGTAGGAGATCCGGGTGCGGGTCATGGCAACTTTGGCATCCAATTCGAGTAAGGTTTACGGGATAATAATACAACGATTAAGATTAATTTTCAGTTGACGGGTGTGATTCGAAAGCTAGGCTTCTATGCTATTGATATGACCCACCCGGCCTTACACATTGATTTAACCTAGATGTCACTAATATGGGAAGCTTTAGACATATCGTCTCTTTCTGACGTGACTGCAGTAAGTAAAAGTATAAGGAACTGCTGCGACACCTTCACGGTATTCAAAGTAGCGGTGTCAAAAACTATTGTTGTGACAGTCAATATATATTTCATCGACGGTTTCCATCATGTAGATAGCCGATTCTGATTGAAATCATCTATGACCAAGTTCCTCACGTCAAGAGCACTACAGAGTCGTTTGCGCTGGGCGGATAAAAGCTTCACCGTCTCAAATTATATCAGTTATTTTACTTTCAGGCGGCAGCATTCTGTTGGAGAACATGGTCAATGGGGACGATTTTATTTGTTGTATGGCTGTGGAGCCACGGGGCTGGTCATTCAGCATGACATGGCAAAATTTATTAGAGGATACCCCTAAAATCAAGGGGTTGTCATGGGCTCTATAGAGATTCATCTACTCATTGCATCTAGAACACTGCGGAGACTTAGAAATTGTTCAAGAAGATGCGCCTGTATTATCTTTTGCTTCGACGCAACCTAGTTGGGGAGAGAATGGGCCCCTGCTCCTTGAATCAATATAAGGCGCATCAATACATCAATATTGCCAGGTTATGAGAAAGGCAACAGCGCTATCACAATGCAATTTGTGATTATTTCACTCGGATTCTACGATTATCTAGACTACTATGTCTCTCAGAGCCGAGCTTGTGTTGCTCCATCCCTTGCCTGGACGACGACCAATATACGGTGCACAAATATTTTCATGGCAGCAGCTTTACCGCCATTACTAAACTGTTCTAGCATCAGATTAACAATACATCACGTCGTACCTCCTGGGATTATAGTGGTTGCGTATGCCAGCTTGCTAGGCAATTCTCGTAGAGTTATTCAAGCGCCTATGACGACTATGCTGATTTAATATATTGACATATACCATATATTGTGCGATGTCGAAGGAAAATATATTTACATAAGAGATGTCGGACTTTTACAATGTAAACCTACCAGTTTCTAATAAACGGAGGCCGATGCCATTCTACTAGTTGTCGAGTTGAAATCTGACCCACGTCAGTAGGTCTTGTTATAGGTAAGGTGGTGATTGAGGTTTTTACCCTAGATACAGTCATTGCTGTCAGAATCTCCTCATTAGTGTGCTACCGGTAGTAACAGTGATGCCCCTAAATGTAGGGGCATAGCGATTATATAGTTATTTCTGCTGACATAGCATGTCGGGATTTGGCAGTATCATGTTTGCACGAGCCATGAACAATAGTTGTGCTGCAGCTGCTCAAGCTCAAAGATAGGACAGTCGGTCTGCGGGGTGGGGGAAATGGACCTGTCATAGTACATCTCGAGATCGATCTCCTTGGACCGTAAGCCACGATAAATTTGGAGACCTGTCATATGAGTTCCTCTTGGGAGTCATGTCGGTTTGACCAAGTAGAGAAATATACATATGATACCCTTTCATGCTGTGCATCATTTTATTTCTGCATCTTATTATTGATGCGACTTGAGACGTGAGACCCGAATCAGAAGCCTAACCGGTGAACACAACATTCTTTGATGCCTTAATGTGCGACCAGAATATGGGGCCTTGTAATCCGTCCCTTTTGATTTGTGAATCCTAAATGTAGAAGTAATCAACCAATCAGCTCGCATGGCTTAGTTGGTAAAGCGCATGACTAGTAATCATGAGATCCTCGGTTCGAATCCGAGTGTGAGCATTTTTGTATTTCTTTTTACCGCTGTCAAGGTAGGAGACCTTTTGGGGTAAGTGATTGCTCAAGGTCCTATTGTTTGCAGTGTCTTCATAAAACAGAACAATGTTCCCTCAGTACTCAGAGAGTGATGTTGTGAAGGCAGTATACTCATAAGCTCGTAGGGTCTGCTCAGCAAGCCCCCCTATGCAAGGGATACATCGACTTCAATTGACTGCCCAGCTGCACCAGACAAACCAGGTGTCACAATGATTAATGAAAATTTCAAAAAATATATCATGGGGTTATGGATTATGAACATCTACTCTATAGGAAAATTTGACACCTCCATGGCACGCATTCTTCCTATAACAATAACATGTGGATAACTCGTCCAAAAGAAAAGCACAACCTAAGACAGAGCAAGGTTGTGACAGATGGTGAAAAGACGAGTCATGATAAAATCAAATGAATACCCGGCGAGATACCTAATTGGCGCTGCGGTATACAGTGCGATAAACATCACCAAGATCGTGCAGGTGGACAAGCAGCGGTGGGATACGACTTAGAGAGATGTACCCGGCTTCGGCTCCGGGTGATCTGTCACATATAGTATCCTCCTAATGGACATGCTTGCGACCGTGGACTGGGGAGCCTTCGACTATAGTCTCTTAGCCGATAGATGAACGTCGTGGCACACAAAGTAGTCAATGCGATAGGTATAAAGTCCTTTTATCATAGTTTTGCTGGGGAAGACTAGTAAGGTTGCCTTTATTATGGGATATAGTTTACTACGGCAATTTAGCACATCAGAATTAGTTATCATTCAACTTGTTATGCCAGTAGCTTGTAAGGGAGTCCCAAGCAATAGCATCGAGCATATAAACGAAAATTTTTGCCCCAGTATCGATGTATCCTGTACAGCATATCACCAGATCGTAGAGAATTTGAGATATTCTGGGCCTTGTCGAGGTCCCAGCGTGCCAATACATATGACATGATCAGTTATGCGTGAGAAGCAATAAAATCTGCGCAAATCAATGGAGTGATCTCCCGAGGTCATATGCAAAGCATATGCTTTATACAAACCATTAACTTCAGGGTTGTCTGCAAATATCATGTATGCCACAACTACCATTCAGGGTTGCGCTGTTGCATGGCATGTCGAAAAATTGAATATAAGACCCATAACAGATTGTCAGTGGCATGTAAGCAATGCATGATTTACCCTCCTTGAACCTCACAGGGACGCAGACCAAAGTTACACTGCATCTATTATTTGATCGCATGCACCAATAATGTTTGAGGTATTTGTTGCCCGTGGTATTTAGCCTTCCGGTGGCTCGTATATAAACCCTCTCGAGATAAACATCCATGTATCTAGCAAAAGGCACAAGTCAGACATCTGGAACCGAGCCAGTACAATGAAAGCCAGTCTACTCTTCGTTCTCTCTTCCTTTTCCCTGGCCTTGGCCACGGATTCAGCCAAGTTACTTCCATGGTCGCCTCCAGGGCACGGCGATGGTATGTCTGACTTATGAAGTTAGTGATGAAAACTAAGAAGCAACAGTGCGAGGCCCCTGTCCAATGCTGAATACCCTTGCGAATCACGGGCTTCTACCACACAATGGCAAAGACATTTCTGAAGAAGATATTGTCAATGTACTGGGCAACACGCTGAATGTTGCAGAGAGCCTTGCTGTTGCTCTGTATAAAGAGGCCATGACCACAGTTGAAGACCCCAACGCGACTACCTTCTCCTTGAGTGACCTTGATCGCCCTGGTATCTTAGAGCACGATGCCAGTTTGAGGTATCTGCAACCCCAGACACATCAGGAAATCAGGCTGACTCGCCCAGTCGTCAGGACCCTTACTTCGGGAATGACCATGAGTTCAACCAGAAAATATTCGACCAGACAAAATCGTACTGGACAAGTCCTCTGATTGATATTGAAGAGGCAGCCGAGGCACATGAAGCCCGTTGGAACACTTCCAAGGCCACCAACCCTGACTTTAATGTCTCGGAAACCGGGACAGCATTCAGTTTCGGAGAGTCTGCCGCCTACATGCTTGCATTTGAAGAAGACGGTATTGGGTATGCCAACAGATCTTGGGTAGTATACTTTTTTGGTGAGTGAACTTGATGAATCATGAGCTAATAGCGCCGCTAACATGTTGATTGCGTAGAAAATGAGCGCCTACCCCAAGAGCTTGGATGGACTAAGCGTCCATTTGTTACTACAAGCGAGACTCTGTTCAACTTGACCCAGCGGATTGTGAACTCCACTGTTGGTGTCACACCAGAAGTGATAGCCAAGCTGAAAGACTTTGCTAAAGCGAACCCCAGTTTCGCAGGGTCTTCGTAAAATCATGATATTCATGGTTTTTCCTGTCTTCTAGCGCTGGGGGGCTATCATTCCCGAGAGAAAGAAAGCTGCAGAGTGGAACAAGGGTTTCTTTTTTTCGATAGTTAAGGCAGGTAATGCGTTTAGTGATTTGTGAGAGATGAGTTCACAGGTTCACCATTCACCCACGTGTCAAGGGGCTCGGACAACAACTGACATGTACACATGTCTCAACGGGTGAACATTTATTACCTACCTAGGGTTCTTCTGCTTGAGTTCATTCTTATTATCAGTCCGTCCGATCTACCAAAGATATTATACTACCATCTAGGATCCATTAGAGCATCCACAAACCGCCCTCTCATATATTATCTACTACAATTAATTCCACATCGCAGGCGAGTTATCATTTGGGTGAGCTATACTCCAACCACTCGCTCAATAGTCTCCCTTACACCATCCATATCCAGCCCCAGCAATCCAATGGCGAGCTTTTGTTCCCTGACGTAGTTGGTCTTAAGGCTTGGAGTACTTCCAAACGCAGTCGCCCGGACTAGTGCGAGCGCGCCACTAAAATCACCGGCATTCAGCTTCTTGAGTCCTTCAGCAACCTGCTCCTGGGTCGTAGTCTGTGTGACTGCCCACCGTGATCCGGTGACCTCTTCGAATGTCTTTAAGACTTCGTTCTGAGTAGTCTCAACAGACGCAATATATAGAAAGCGGTTTTTGGTTTCCTCCGACCGTAAGACGACAGATAAGACAGCCTTTCCAAGCTGTTCCTCATTCGTCATGGTGAATGATGTGACACCACCGTCCCAGATCACTGCAGACTTCGTCTTGATGTCAAAGCCGAGGAAACCAGATGCAAGTCCCTAGAATATCGATCAGTCATAATATATCAAAGACATGGTAAGAGAAGACAACTCACCCAGTCGAACAACCCAGAAGTAGCAATTCCAGTCCAGCTCAACCCCCCTTTCTCTTTCTCTTTCAGATAGTCAATAATATCTCTCTTCTGTTGAAATAGAGGGAGTAGCTGGATCACGGCATCATCTTCGCTGCTGGTCGAGAACTCGGAGGGAATAAACCGTTTCACGCCTGCCTCGATCGCAGCATCAACGAACTTCTTTTGTTCAGTGAAGGCAGTCCCACCAACTGCGGAGATGAGCACATCTTGCCCACGAAGGAGTGACTGGAGACTGGAGGGCGAAAAGTCGGTTTTATGGACAGTAACGCCGGGTGGAAACTCAGTCGTGCCGGATGATTCTTGGCGGGATAGGACGCTAACGGCGATTCTCGCATTGAAGCTCAATGCCTTGAGGATAATTTGACCGATCAACCCGGTTGCCTGTGTTGGTCAATTGGGTGTCCGAAGGAATTTAGACACGCAAGACATACCCCAATGATCGTGACTTTGGTTGGGGTGGCCATTTTGGTCTAAGCAGAGCGGAAGATGTGGTATGAATCGATTGTTTCCTTGAATCTGCTATGAAGCTTGCAGCTAAAACTGAGGGAAGATAACCTCTATTTATGTTTGCATTTGAGGCATCGAATCTACTTGATGATCAGTTGTATACACACTAATACGCTTTTCTCAACCCTAACTTGGGACTAGCCCCTACAGCTCAATGCTTAGTGCTTACATCCCATCACCCACCTCTAAGCAGATGATTCATCAAGATTATAAATACGGACTGCGCTCCGCTGTCCGCCCTACCCAATCACTGATTGATCTTCACTCTTGCACCATTTCACTTACACACTCACCTGCCCAAAAGTGCCTACGTTGGGATACGTCTTCTTAATCTGTCAATCAATAGACAAAAATGCTACGTCGGACAATCGCATCCGGGAGATCCTGCCTCGAATGTAGTCGGCGAAAGATCAAATGTGATAGGTCACTGCCTTGTTCCTATTGTGTAAAGATTAGAGCGGCATGTGTTTATCCGCCGACGAGAAGGCGCTCTCGGAGCCCAGACTCAGGGAATGTCAGTGTCACGAGTCGGCTTGATAGAATTGAGGATACGCTACGAGTACTGAGCGAGGATTTTGGTCAAATTAGAGACTTACTACGCCATTTAGTCTCATTCACGGCATCCGACACTACAGGGGATGGCGAGATTCTCCAAACGAGACCCTCGAATCCTCATGGAGACTGCGTCGATACTGGCCATGGCCCGGCTAATGGAACAGAGCCTCCAATCTGCGCAAATAGCACTTTTGATAGCGCGAAAGAAACAACCGAACGACAGCACCCATCGCCTGTCACAATTTTTATTCTGTGGCATTGGTACCTGGATACCGTTGACCCTGTGCTCAGGGTATTCCATACGCCTAGTGTTCAGAAAGACCTTATGCGAGTTATCACAGCAGATACCACTGTGGATGTGGCAAAACAATGTTTGCTCTTCGCGATGTGTTATGCTTCAGTAATCAGTATGCCATCTACCACGTGCCTGGACAAGCTTGATGAAGATAGGCCAACGCTACTGGAACGGTAAGATAGCCATGTCCTCAAACTCGAAGCTAGCTAACAATATAGATATCGCAATGGAGTCGAGCGCCAACTTGCACGAGTAGACCTTTCATCGTCCTTGGAATCTACTCTTCTACAGGCCTTCATTCTATATCTTGTGCGTGAATGAGTCCTTTCGCCCTAACTCAGCTAATAATCGTACTAGACCTGCGCCCGACTAGACAGCCACGGCCCATCAGTTAAAACCCACCTCCCTACAGCCATCAACATGGCATACCGGATGGGTCTCCACCGCGACGGCACAACACAAAACAAATCAGTATTGGAGACTGAATCCCGACGTCACCTATGGTGGCAGCTCGTTACCCTTGACACCCGAACCGCAGAGGATCACAACACAACCCCCTATATCCTTGAACCATCCTTCACCACACAGTTTCCATGCCTCATCGTTGACGCAGGCCTCCCATCCCCGATCGCATCCAATGCCACTGCATCCAGCACGTTCTTTCAACTTCTCCATTTCGAACTCATATCCTTCACCCGACGCATAATTTTCTCGGACACTTTCAACCAAGCAAACGACTATCACATTTCGTCCCCGATACAAAAGCACAAGGCCATCAACGACTTCCGGCAATCACTAGAAACCCGATACTTCTCTCACTGTGGCTCCATAAATCCCCTAGAGTTTATAACCGCGGCAACTGTCCAGCTCTTCCTTGTGTACATGAAATTAGCGGTGTGTAAGCCTGGACACAGTTTTCGACCTATTTGTGTAGAGGTCCTTCAGCGAGCACTCGCGCTGAGGGAGCATGAGCCAGGGCAGAAGTGGGTTTGGTTAGTTCAGAGAGATATGGAGTGGGGAATGTTGGAGTTGCTGCTGAATGATTTGTGCGCAGAGGGGGTGAACGAAGGGAGGGAAGAGGCGTGGAGGGTTGTTGAGCAAGCATATGGGTATTGGAGGGGAGATGAAACTGGACGGAAAACTGGAAAATGGGCGGTCATTGAGAAACTAAGGGCCCGTGCTTTGACTATTCGGGGTTACGAGAGCGAGATCGATGTACCGAACGGACTCGAATTGGTCCCAGACAATTATGGTCCAGTGCCGGCTGAGGAGCTCGCCGAGGGTACTGGGACGGGAGAATTGCCTGGCGATGGGACCATGTGCGAGTGGAGTATGGAAGCGTTTGAGCAGTATTTTCAAGGGCTGGGTGCCGGTGACGGTATGTCGAATGTGCTTTAAGCTGTTAGCTTGTACGGAAGCGTACATGTTTAGATGGAACCATACATAGTTTGGTCGTTGCGTGACGATATCTATAATAATATTACATACGGACATGGCTTTATGTCACAGGACAGCAAGAACATGTGAGCGATACATATGGCGATTTCGTGCTCTACCTATATCCTCGTTGAGAAGTGTAGCGTAGAGACTACGTAATTAGCAGCGATGAATGCACCAAAAAGACAAGACTGGCCTGCAAAAGTATGGTTTGCTCAAGCATAGTGCCAGGTGTCATTAGCAGGATGTTCATACCCTGCAAGCTGGCTGCATGCTAAGCTTTATCGGCCTGCAGTGCCAATCACATACTCATTCGTCTGTGCGCTTGCCAACCAACTACTCTGACGATCTCCCTCTTATGCTCACCCCTCATCCACTTAACCAACTATCAAAGCAATATATTGGAAATTGCTTATGGCACAATCTTCTGCTGGTCGGAGAAATGATGAGCTGGCGCGCAGGGCTCCGCATCTTCCCCACATTGAAGCCACGGCCACCAGATGCTAGTTCTTTTCTACCCTGGTATATTAGAACTGACATTATCGAACGCTATTGATCAACCTACAGGAATTGAACAGACGTGAGTGTAACCCTGCGATCGGGGCTGTATTACGCCCTGCCACCATCAATAGCGGGCTTTGCCTACGGATGGGAGATTGCGTCCATGAGCGGCATCTTAACGATGCCGCAGTTTCTTTCCTACTTTCATACGCCATCAGCTTACCGGCAAGGTGCCATGACAGCAGCTCTTCAAGCTGGCGAGTTTGGGGGTTTGCTACTGATTGGGTTCTCTCTTGCTGACCGATTCGGCCGTCGATACACGCTTCTCATTTGTGTAGCTATTTATCTGATCGGGCAAGCAGTTGTTGTCGCTGCACAAAACCAAGCCATGTTTATTGCAGGCCGACTTGTCAATGGACTCGGAGCGGGTGGCCTATTCCGATCTATTTCTCTGTAAGTATATCATCTTTATCGCTGTCTCCAAATTATTCCCTCCCCCGATCTCGTGTGGTTTTGCTGAAAGTGTCAGGTATACCGCCGAAACAACACCCCACACAGTCCCCGGCATTATGTCCTTCACAATGAGCGCAGGGATCGCTGTTGGCTTGCTAGTATCTTACTGGGTACAATATGGAGCGCTTAAGGTTTCCGGAACAGCCGCGTGGCGCATGTGCTTTGCCTTGCAGCTAGTACCTGGGGTCTTAGTGGATATGCTGATTTATCTACGCCCAAAATCTCCACGCTGGCTGTTTCAACACGATCGCAGCGACGAGGCATTTCAAGTTTTGGCAGACCTTCATGGCCACGGTGACTGCTCCGATCCATTTGTACAAGCCGAGTTCCAAGAAATCCGAGTAGTCGTGCAATATGGGGGCCGCACACCTCCCCCATCATACCTGAGCCTACTCGCTAAAGCGCCCTACCGGCGTCGCACTGCGCTAGCAATGGGTCTACATTTTATGCAGAACATCAGCAGCGTCCGCATCGTCTTCTACTATGCAGCCAAGGTATTCACGCAGACTGGATGCACCGGGACCCAAGCGGCATCGCTAGCGAACGGCATCGGATCCTCCATCTTCCTAGTCGCCTCCTTTTCGCTGACCGTCATGATCGATCGGTACGGTCGACGAAAACCACTGATTATCGGCCCAAGCCTCATGGGCATATGCATGATTGTTGTTGGCATATTACTAGTTGGCTACGGCTCGCCGTATTTCGATGCCGAATCCCAGCAGTTGAAAAACAGCTTTGCGAACGTCAAGGCCGGCAATGCAGCTGTGGCATTTGTATTTCTACATATGATTTCCTTTGGCTCAACGTGCGCTGAGTTGCCCTGGACTTATCAGAATGAGGTGTTCCCTATCTCCGCGAGAGGCAGAGGGACTGCAGTTTCTGCCTGCATAATATGGTTTACGAATTTTTGGCTCGGTTTATATATGCCTGAAGCGTTGAAGGCTGCATGGAAGATTTATTTCGTTTTCGGGGGGGTTTGCATCGCGACTTCTTTTGAGACGTATTTGTTCTATCCGGAGACTGCGCAGCAGTCGCTCGAGGAGCTGAATTTGTTGTTTATGCCGATTCGACGTAAGCTGGTTTGCTTTGACTGGGAGGCATGTCAGAAGGGGTCATTGCTGCATCGGATTTCGAGGGCGTGGAGGTGGCACAGCAGCTGGAGACTGCGCTAGTCATGGGAGGGATTCAGAGGACTGTGAGTGGAGGATTTATTTTTGCGCTTAGCATACCCGGCATATACTAGTATTTCGTGGGACCTTGCTAAAGAAGATAATACGAATTTTTGAGTCGTACGCGTATAACAAAACGGGGCACGATGGTGGATGGAGGTAAGAACCGAGTGATTAAAGCAGAAGGATCAGAGCGAACTATCTCCCGACAGTACACAATGTGCTTATACACAGCCCCTACGGTTAAGAATAGTCACACTAAAAGTAAGCTTCCTCGGCGTCCCACTAGAAGGACGCGGAACTATAATTAACCCAACCTCCTGCACAATGATGCATTCTTCTGATAATGTCCTATCAACATCCCAGTCGACTTATCCCGGCCGGTCCCGCCCAACCCAATCAAACTCCTTCTAAGCCGCCACCCGTATAGCTGGCCTGTTGATTCGGTAGAAAGTAGTCACAGGTAAGACAATTCCAACGACGCGTATAGCTTCATGCTTGTCAGATGTCCTGTCCTATCAGGATGTGCATAACGGAGGAATGCGGATGCAGGTCTCAGTTGATATAGCCAGGCTCAGATGATCATTGTACGCCTGATTCATTATCGTAGAACGTAGATGAGGCTGAGTCGACATCGTCAATTTCAATCATCAATAAATATAAATACGCGATTGACCATCTCGCCGAACATCAGAATCATAACCCATCACATCCATCCTAATCAAACCAACTGACAGCCACCCTCAAGAACCACAACAATGACTTTTCTCACCACCCTTATCCCCCTCCTCGCCCTCCTCACCCCTGCCCTCTCCGCCACAAACTGCAGCACCGGCGCCTTCACCGTCATGTCCATCCGCTCCGGCACTTTCATTCAAAACCTCCCTCTAACCGCCGCCGACACCAACTTCTACCTCGGAGGCACGACCTCCACCGCATGTCCAGAGGATGTAGCTGAATACGACGCTTGCCCACCAGGAGATGAGACCGTGATCGACTACAGCAACTATCTGGTATGTCTACCTACCATTCCCAAATTCCTTCCCATGACATGAATGACTGACGATGAACAGAGTTCCGGGTACACCCAAGAAATCTACGTCGACCCCACCGGCGCATTGAAGTTCGTCGAAGCGCACACGACATACATGGACCCTGGTGCATCGACAAGCACGTTCTGCTATACGCCGGGTACGAGCTATGGACAGTGGACGTATACGGGCCTCGGGGCGACGGGGTTCATGGCTTGTCCGTTGGATGAGGATGAGGAAGTGAACGGGGGTGCGTGGCAGGTCTTTGCGGCCATGAAGAATGCTACGGTGCCGTCGGGGAATGTGAGTGATTGCTTGCAGTTTGAGGCTCTTGCGTACCCATGGGTGTCGAATGGGAGTTCGATTGCAGCGTGGCAGTATGATTAATTAATTCATGATTTCTTTGATGGGGTGGACTGTTGGGGAGGGGTTTGAGAGAGCTACAGTGTATTTATGTTGATTGTGTCGCTTTTGGGGTTCTAAAGTTAATACTATGGGGGTAATGGTTAATCAATGAATGGACGTTGCATAAATATTCATCCCAATATTTCATAAATATATAACTGCAACGCTGTTATACCAAAGACAGTACACCACTACATAACATCAGAACATAATTAAACAGTACTAAGGACCTACAGCACACGTCATAAGGGACTTAAATCACCCTAATCAACCCACTCTAACCGATAAAATTTACTATAGTATATCCACCAGCAGTCTCCCACCTCCGACACCTCCGCGGAAAACTCAACGCCCACGCCCATCGCCTAAACACTTATCACCCCATACTCTCGGACTACCACGACAACGTCCCCACACCATCCCGTCACTTCTACTGTGTACTAGATACTGTATCGCGTCTCGTCTACTCCAGACTAAAGACTACAATTCTAACCGGCAGTTGTAGTCATCCCATCGAATGACGTAGAACCCCACTCACTCCTCTCACTACCAGGACACGCGACACAGACTCAACCCTACGGACCGACATGGGGAAGACCAAGAGACCTTCTTTCTTTTCCCCGAAAATATCTTATGCTTAATGCCGGACATGTATTCTACCATTGACTCGTAACTTCCATTCACAGCACACTATATCTCTACAATCTCCTCCACTGTTACAACACTCGTACTCACCCGGCCCCCATAACCAATGAAAATCAATCACAAGAACCCCATAGAATCCGCCCCGATCAGATCCGACCCCAACATCCAAATGCCGCACAGATCCGGCATGTCCGTCCATCCATCTAACAATGGGGGCGAAATCGAGCTCGGAATCGGAATCATCACATCCATCCATGCCCTACCTACCGTGATTAATAGTAGAGACTACTAAGTATTACCCGGGATCCTAAACAACAACCACCCACCCAGACAACCCCATTGGCCAACTACATGAGCATATCCCGGCTTCCAATCCCGAAAAATTCCATGACAACAAAACTAACCCCAAACTAGACTACTATTTAGTTAAGTATCTAGCTTGAGGTTTATCAGCCCAACTAACTCAATACTAGGCAATTTAGTGCAGAAATTATCTACCAGCTAAACTTAAGTAACCCAAGGGCCATGCGACATGGGACACATGCAGGGATCAGACCATAGCCAAGACTTTGATTGACCATAGGGTAAGACGGGGGAAAAAGTTTTTTTTTTTTTTTTTTTTTTTTTTTTTTTTTTTTTTCATTGTGTCTTTCCCATCATTTCCGGGGTAATGTCTTAGTTTTCAGGCACATGGCAT